TGCATACACATTGTATCTAGACAGGAATTCAGTGAAACTGAAAGTCTCTGGTGTATCTGAAGGAAGGAAGAGTTTGGAACTAACACTCCTTGTGAATAACTACAGTAAGTGGAAACAAAAGAAACCCATCACCATCAATTCCAACTCATGATGACCCCACATGTTACCCGGTAGAACTAAGTTCAAGGTTTTCTACATTGAAATCTTCATGAAAGCAGATTGTCAGGCCTTTCTTCCACATGTTGCTGGGTAGGTTTAAAGCACTGAACTTTCCAGTCCGAACTATTTGAATAATCCCAACCAACATATGCCAGGTTTAAAGGTATCCTCCCTCTATAACAAATAAGGTCCAGTCTAAATACTTGACCAATGTCACACAAATAGAACATATCAAAAAACAGCTAAAAATGTAAGATCCTTTCTTGAAAATTACCTCTAAACAGAAGAAAAAGAAACAAACAGAGCTCCACCTATAACTAAGTGGTACACTAACTTTAACTTGAAACACAATGTGTGGAAAGAAAGTTGATTGTGGAATGGTACATGACAGCATAGTGGAAAAGAGCTAGTGAACACAAAGAGAAATAATGGCAAACATCCCTATTTACTCTGCTGTATGATTTGATATTGAAGGCTTAGAAATTTGAGACACTGGGAAAGGCAGAGGACAGACTACCACCAACAAGCCAGGGTAACAAGGAAGGGTCGCCGAACAACAACACTAATCATTGTGGCTCCAGGCTTACGGGGAGTTCCACACAGAAGGTGGAATACTGCAATGAAAACAGTAGTGAAAATGTATAAACGGAATAGTGAAACTTACAGCTTTCTTCCCACACCCAGCACTAGCACCCTGCCATATACACTGCTTACCACTGTGAGCTTCCTTTCCCCGTTACTCCACCTAGAGACAGATAGAAAAATACTTTCTATGAAGAAACAGAAAAGCCTTCCTACCCACCACCCAGAAAGAATAAAGATTATAACATGGAAGGCCATCCATAATAGAGCCTTGCTTATGCATGCCCAGTGGGCTTTCAATTAGCCTTCCTTACGTTTCTCTTTAAAAATGAACCAACTAGTAAGGATCACCGATATCTGGAGAAAGTCTTCAACAGCAAAGAATAAGACAAATCAGACAAACAGGGGAAAAAATGTTTTTAAAAGGAGCTGAAAATACAAGAAGAGATTTCAAAGCCATAAAATTAACATCCTTGCTTGACCAGCTAACAGAAGACGCGGCATAAAGAAAAAGAACAAGATGGAGAGCAGGGACAAAGAACCAGAGCTCATGAAATCTATTTACCTTTTAGAGAGAGATGGCTGATATTTTTTGTTTCAGTTAAAGAATTAAAGTATTCTAGATAACAGAACAAAAGACAATGTTGTGGAGATCAGATTTCTCGACATCTTCCAACTTTTGAGGGAAAATGACTTCCAATATAGAAGCCTCTGAACAGCCACACAAGTTGAGAGTAAAAATAAAATGTACGAAATAGAGATTCCACACATTCTCTCACAGAAGTTATTAGAGGAAACAAAAATGAGGGAATAAAGCAAAAGGTCCAGAAAAAGGGGATTCAGCAGAATCAAGGAAATTCCCAGAATATCGGTTAAGGAAAGTCCCAAGATGATAGCTCTGCAGCAGGCCCACAGAGGAAACAATCCAGACTGACGCAGGAAGGGGGACAGCTCCAGGAGGCAAGTCGACAGGAACAAATGGAACTGATAAGTTGATCTGACAGATTTGACCATGTGGAAAATTGTACTGAAAAACATTTTATGGCTGCTGGAGGGTATGGAAAGACTTGGCCAGAAATTCAGAGAACACTAAGCAAATGAAAAAATGAGCCATTAAAAAAAAAAGACAAGGAAACAAAATCAGAGTAAATAAAACTACTGCTGCCTCAGGAGTGACACATATTTATTACCTCATGATGATGTATGAATTCTGGATACAAAGTGAACGTCAATTTGTGAGAGAACAATATTAGAATGAATGGGGAGAGTGAAGCTTGAACAATCCTCTAATTCATACACTTAAAATCACCACTTTTTTACAGACCTCAAATTATTCAATTCTTAAGCAAATGTACAGAGATTGGTTTACCAGTAATTGGGGGGTTGGGGTGCATTACTGCTTAAAGAGTACTGAGTTTCTGTTATGAGTGAAGGTAAAAATTTGGAAAAAGACAGTGGTGAAAATTGTACAATATGGTGAATGTAATTAATGTCACTGAATTGCACATGTAAAAATATTGCAATGTTTTGTTATATTCCATTGTATAGTTTAACCATACTAAAAGTATTAAATTCTAGAAGCCTCTGTTTTCATTAAATTCTGTAATGACACTGGAAAGGCAAAACTTCAGTGACAATAATTTTTGTCTTAGGACATTCTCACAGATATTCCATAAAAAAAAAAAAAAGAGTGTTGTAATGTTAATTTTGTTGTTTGCAAAAAAAAATTTGTTGTTTGCCATAATATAATTATATCTGATACATTTGGTACTTATCTACTTTTAATTTCCACATTTACCAATTCAATAGTTTCCCTGTCCCACAGAGAAAAAAATGTGGACCATACCTCTACAAGTAACTTGGTTTACAAAGCTGAACTGTTTTGCACATCTTCTTTGAAAAAGAACTACAATTTGACTTTCACTCCATGACTCAGGTTTCTTATGCAAGTCAGCCACACAAATGTTATCGAGATGACCTCAGAGGTTTCAGGTGTGTAAGGCTACTATGCCTTTATAATTCACGACTCTTAACTTTCCAATCTACTGACAATAATTCTTCCTCAATCGGGATTAACCTAGGTCTTAATTTGCTATGAGGCTAAAAAACAAACATATAAACAAATAAAAACTATAGAACTAAATATGCTTACAGGCCCCTTCCTATACATTTTCTCACTTAATCCACATATGCTAAAATGAAAATAAAGAAGTGTGATTATGAACTTCAACAACAAATAACCTACTATAATTTTTTTTTTAAATGCACTGCCATTTCATCAATTCCAGCTCTTGGCAACCCTATATAGGTTTTTTGAGGCTTTAAATCTTTACCAGAATAGAGATCCTCAAATTCCTCCTGTGGATGGTTTTGAACAGCCAACCTTCAACAGAGCTCCTTTACTAAAAATAAAAAGTGACCCACATAAATGCAGAGACAAAGTATCTTAAATTAAAATACATTGCATGTATTTAGAATTGACAACCAATCTCCTTTACTATAAATAAGTAGAGGGCCTTTAATAACCGAAGGGGCTAGGAGGTTTTTTTGGTGTTATTTTTTCTTTTTGAGGGAAGGATGATCTTTTATCATGCTTGAGTGTCTTCATAGGTAATTTCCAGTTCTAACTTAGATTGTTAAATTAGTAAGTGGTGGTTAATTGAGAGGTTATTTGGCTATCCTATGTATAGCCAACTTCGAACACCAAGGGATGAGGAGAGCGAGCATAACCTGGCTGTGATAGTTAGAATTATGTGTATTTGAATGGGCCATAATTGTCAGGGGTTTGGCAGTTACATTATGATGTAGTCACCCTCCATTTTGTTGTTGTATAATGCTGATTTTGACACAACTATCTAACCCTGATGATAAATGAGGAGTGGGTTTATTTGGTCACCCATCCGCCATTATTTCAACCAAAGGACAGCAGAAGTGAAAGCTGAACTACAAACTAGGGCTTTCATATCCACAGTCAATATGTGCACATAATACTATTACAACTATTTGCTAAAACATCTTAATCGGTTACAACAGATCCTCAATTCTGAATATTAGAATGAGTATTTCCCAAATTTAGGGATTTTTCACCATAGTTTATCATCAAGACAATGAAAAGTCATCCTTTTCTTTGATATTTAATTTTTCCTCAGTAAAACATTATTCCTGTGAGAACAATGACAACCTGATAATTGTGTTAATATCCAGTCACTACTAAAACAAACAAACAAAGCCCATAGGACACCAAAAAGTATCTTCCCCATGTAAATCGAGAAACAGTATTTCAAATGAAAAATACATTGCTTGTATTCAGAATTGACAATCTATGAAGCTGCCCTTAAAAGGTGTCAATTAGATACAATATACAAGACTATAAAATGTTTCTAAACAGCCACTTCATTTAAAGGGCCATTTGTACACATTTTAAATAAAAAAATTTTTTTACTGTCTGTTTACTTGTTCTCAGCCATTTCGATGCTCTGGATGGTCTGAAGAACAATTGTATGTTCTCCAAGAACTTACCCAAGTGCGAGCAAGATGTTCACACACAAGGGCCTTGACAAGGCACAAGACTGAGAGTGGACAGACGTGTACGTACACATCACGTGTAAATGTTACATGTAACCACAGAGGCTATCCTCAAAACCACTTTCCTTGAAGCAACTCTCCCGAGCCGCGCGACCTGAGCTGGCCCGGAGTATTAGACGGCAAAGCTTTGCAGCAGACACAACACGGCGGCGGCACATTCGAGTGCATTTAAAAACCAGCAAAACAAAAACGCACCCCTTTTAAGCTTTGAGCACTTTTTCATGACCAACGCTTTTTAGACAGCAGTGCTTACAACTGCTTATTTCCTCTCCACCCCCCCCAAATGAAAAACCCTTTGGCCAAGCGATGCCGCCACGTCTATTTACAGTAAAATCGCGACGTGGTCTCCCCGCCACGCCACTCACTCACGGTCAAGTGTGGCCAGACCACCTACCGATCTTAAAGAAACAGCGCTCGGAAGATTACAGACCACTAACCCACACGGAAAAAGAAAACGGTCTGCAAAGGAAGCAGGAGGATTTGCCTTTTTCCAACGTGAAAACCTCCTCCAGCCACTGCATCCGGCCGCAAAAGCATGTCAACCAACGCTCCTGCTGGTCGCCTGCTGCGGAAAACCCTTGGAATGGGGCCGAGAATCCTTTCGAACGGGCGGGTTTCGAACAAGACCCCCCCAGACACTTCAAGGGGCGGCGGGCCGGGCGGAGAGGGGGCACCTTAGGAAAGGGCGCGCTTCGGGCCCGGCCCGCCGCCTCGGCTCCCTAAGACGGACGCCCAGCCCAGGCCTCCGGGCGCGGCCAGTGACGCCGGGGCTCTCCACACCCCCTTTTTGACAGGCTTTTCTGGGGTCGGAGGCCGACTCACACGCGCGAGTTCTCGCGACCGCGTCGGCGTGGCCTACGCGTCCAGCACCTTCTCCCGGTCCGAGCCCTTCCCGGGCGCCCGCCTCAGCCCCGCACGCCGCGGGGGCCCGCCAGCCCCACTTGCACAGATCCCGCGGCGCCCGGGCTGGGGGACAGAGGCCACAGAGGAAGCACGAGTTCCAGCCGTTCCCCTCTCGGCCGCCGAAATTACAGGCTCCATTTCCTGTCCCCACGGGGACAGCAAAACCGCCGGCTGAGAGCGGGACCTCTCCCGCCCGGAGCCCGCGGCCCCCGC